CGACGAGCTTACAGTCCCCATTAACTGTTCACGCTAGTTTAATTAAACTGTTTAAATTAAATAATAAATTAATTAAAATAAAACTGTTTACGATACTTTAATTTCGAAAATTAACAGAAAATAACTGCATATCTTAATAAATTGAAGGAGTGATTCTTCTGGAAAAGTCAATATAGCACTTTAGGCTCCTCTGTCATCTTGGATTTTAGAATTTTGAAATTTTGACTGGGAATTCGAGTTTCCCATTAAAAAATAGCCGAGTTTTACAAAAATCGATCGAACAGGATCCTCGATAGCATTTACCTACCAAACCTACAAAGCGACAAAAATTCCCGGAGAACTTCGAAAAAACGATGCAATGAGTTTCCTTGTATAAAAATAATACATAGATGCAAATTCGGAACGTTGGAGCAAATTCTGTCTTAGCAGTGAATGAACATGCCCGAATTTTATCATTCTGATTGGTCTCGAAGCTCCGGAACCGAGCGCAACGGCGCGGCGCAGGTCGGATTAAGTTAGGTCACGAAACTAAACTAACTCTCCGGCAAAGCTGGAAGTATCACTCGAATTGAAGGCGCCCCAATCCCGAGCGACAAAAATTCCCGGAGAACTTCGAGAAAAACAATGCAATGAGTTTCCTTGTAAGAATTAATACATAATGCGCAATTTCGGAATGTTGGAGCAAATTCTGTAGTAGCAGTAAATGAACATGCCCGAATTTCATCATTCTGATTCGTCTCGAAGCTCCGGAACCGAGCGCAACGTAGCAGGTCGGGTTAAGTTAGGTCACGCAACTAAACTAACTTTCCGGCAAAGCTGGAAGTATCACTCGAATTGAAGGCGCCCCAATCCTGATCAACAAAAATTCCCGGAGAACTTCGAGAAAAAAAATGCAATGAGTTTCCATGTAAAAAAATTCGGAGCACCTGGCCCCTCTCAGAATCGATACATTTCCATAACTTTGAATGGAGAAAAGACAATGTTGCCAATTTGCTGGAGCCGCCAATGGTCATCGCAATGCCATATGTTGGAAAAATATCGATTTTACTAAAATTCTTATAGTCTTTATAGAAATAAGTAATTATCCAGTTGTTACTTTTATATACCCTTATGTACAGACATTAAGATAATTGTATACATTTCCTCCTGGAAGGGTTACAATAAAAAATAAAATTAAAAAAAAAAAAAAAAACCTAAATTTCTGACTTGAAATAAGCCTAATAATATTAAACTGTTGTATCAGTCTGCATAGGCATGTGAACATATTCTCACACAAGCAACTTGTAATTTTTACTTTTTTAAAATAGAAATTGCCCTTGATCCAGGGCAAAACTACTTATTTGCCGAATTTAAATTCCAAATTTTCCTTCCTCTTAAAATGTTGATAAGTCTTCGAATATTCACCTCCAACAATAATTATTGAAGGGCTTAGAGGACAAGGCGCATTAGGGTAGTTTTTGGGAAAAAAATGGGATATTCATGAACTGAACAGAAACGAATTTGAAAGGATATTCGGCGAAAAATTCCCAACTAAAATCCAACTTTAAAGCATCAAAAATTGAGTTTAAACTTTCTTCCCACAATAATGCTCCATGTAATTTTGAAACTTTAAACACGTGTTTCTTGAAATCGCGAAAACTGCACTTACGCGCCTTTCCCTCCAAGCCCCTCAATGGACCACTAGACAAGGTACGAATTTCAGCATCCTGATACATGTTTCTTCACCAAAATTTCACGTAAACACAATGCGCACAACGAAAATTACCAAAATCAACTCCTTCTGAAGATATTTAATGATTCTTGGTTCGTGAATTGAAACCACCCGCTCATGAAAACTCAATGCTCTATGTGATTCGCATCGCGCGCTAAACGTTTTCATGGCAGTCTCTGCGATATAAAAATCTGGTAACCTCAATCTTGACGCTTTGGCTCAGCTATAGAAAATTACATATAGTTTGAAAAACACATGGTGGGAAATGAACATTGCTCGACTGAGAAGCTTACTGAAACCGTTGCAGTGCGCGATTTGACTCACGTAGAGCTTTGAGTTTCTTGTGAGAAGGCAGTTCAAATTTCTCGTAACCATTGTGAAATAAAAATGTTAATATCTCCGTTAGGAGTTGGTTTCAGCAACTGTCGTTGCGCGAATTATGCCCTACGTGAAATTCTGGTTAAGAAACATGTATCAGAATGCTTAAATTCGTACCTTGTCAAGTGGTCCATTGTGTGGATAGGAAAACAAGCGGCTTTGACGATTCCTACGTTTACAGGCTCTTAACTTCAGGCAATCAAAAGTAAAAAAAATTATAAACTGCTCGTATGCTCCCCTCGTAAGGCGTGATGACACCTTACAAATCGCCAATTCACTGCGAGTAGTTTACCGGACAAAAGGGCACTACCCTCTCCAAACGTCTGACTGAAATTGAGGTAATGCGCATACATTTTTGAAGTACTTGGATTTTTAGGCTTTTAAAAGTGGCTTCAGCAATAGATTGCAATGGGAATAATATGTTTTTCTTCCAAATCCCTTCATCAGGTTAGTTCTTGGAAAATTTCGCACTTAAATGTCAAAAATCACTTGCCCCAAAGAGGAAAAGCTCGAAAAAAGACCACTTATCAAAGTAGGTTAAAGGAAACAGAGCGTATCATGCTTAAATATTTAATTTTTTTCAAATTATAAGGGCCAGCTGGGTTTCAATAGATTTAAATGATGCATTAATCGGAAAATTGACAACTTCGCGATCAAAATCCGCGATGCTTCACTTCATTGGAACAACAGGCAACGCTGGAATGAAGTTGCTGTGCAACAGGTACAATCAAAACTCCAGTTAGTGTCATATACGGCGGATACTAATAAATGAACTTCATAACTAGGCGTGAATGCAACTATTCGGGCTCAATGGATGACCGTGTTGCCTACGCACTCAAGTGAAGGCGTTTTGACTTCAGGCACGAACTGCCTCAACACTGACGCTCACTGGAGCGAATTAATGAGAGGAATCATACAAAATAGGAAAACTTAAAAAGCTCATATCGATGTTTGTACTAAGCGAAGAGCTTTTAGAAGTGCTTTCATTGATTTTCTGGTCAAATTTCCTTCAAAAAGCACTTCATACACTTTATGGTGTGAGAAAATTAACATCCCATGCAGCAAAATTTGAAAGATGATTGCCAATATAATGCTCATTTATTTACAGATTTCCATCGATTGGTAATTTATTGCCAATAATTGACCAATCCGGGAATCAAAAGTCGACCAATTATTTGGCAATCAAATTGCCAATCAAATTGCAATGAAATCTGAATATGTTGGCAATAAAACAGCAATAAGCCATCAATATCTCAACTTTTTTTTGTCCCCAGTATCAGGTTGACAATAGTTTCTCCCAGGGAAACTTGCAAAGAGTAGGTACTGAGAATTGAGGATTAACAGGTCGAAAAAGGAAAAGGAAAGGAAGTTAGGTATCTTAACTCGCCCCAAAGATACGCGTAACAGTATATTTAGAAGAATCGTTTTCGTTTGCCGTTAGAGTCGAAAATTTCATGTCCAACCTATTTGAAATTTTTGTTTCATTGTACGGCGAGCTTTATTGATAAGATCTAAATTGACTGAGTGCCCTTGATTCTTCGTTTATAATTCGAGGACATTTCTTAGGCACGAAAAATTGGTCTACAAAACATGCTCAGCACATCGCGATATCAAAACTGAAGCACTAAAGATACTCAGATCCTACGCTTGAGTGCAAATATTGCACTCAAGTGTGCTTAGGAGTGCTTAGGAGATATCTTTGTAGCATAAACGAAGAATTGAAAGTGCTCCATTATTTTGGATCCTCGCGGTGAAGCTCACCTTTGGGTGAAGTGAAGAGAGCCCGATGAGTCAAAACTCTTTCACTTTCGTGCGTATGCAATAAGGACATCCATGGAGCTCGAATAGTTGCATACATGCGTTATAATGAAATTCGTTTAGTATCCACCGCGCCAAATAACTGAAGCTTTGGTTGCTTTCCTTACAAATTAACTTAATTATAGCGTTACCGATGAAGTATATAATCACTGATTTTCATTGCGACATTGTCAATTTTCCAAGAAATGCATCATTTAAAGGTATAAAAACGTTTTCGGCCCTTGAAATCGCAAAAGATTAGGCATTTTAGCATGATAAATAGAGTTTCCCTTTACCAACTTAAATGAGCAAATCTTTTGTTTGAAATTTTTGCTTTGAGCAAATTAATTTTGACGTTTTAGTGTACAAAACTTCTTACCTTTTAGTCAATATTAGAGGCGTAGGTTATTTTTGTTGGCTTAGGTAATTTACTTAGAGACTCAATCAACAGATTATAAGACTCTTACAAAGGCATATCGATGATGAAACTACAAAACCACAGTTGTCCTTTTGCAACATTGCAGATTTTCTACAACATTAGACATTTTTGAAAGACAGCTCCCTGTTTATAGCTATTGGACATATTTTCCTTTGCTTTTTCAAGAATACCTATTCTATAAAATTTCGTACAAAAATCACTGAAGTAATATTTTTAAATGATGAGGAATCCATAATTTTTAAACACTGAACGAAGTATGTATTTATGTGGCTTCCTGTCAATATTTGGCAGTTTTGTGGATTAATTTTCTTGAAGAAGGTTAGGCTGGCTTCAGGACAAAGAATAACAAGGAGAACTGTTTAACGAGAATTTATTTCTTCGTTGAAAAAAGGAACAATATTTTTTAACTCAAACAAAACAGTTTTAAAATAACATGAAAAACAAGAAACGTAAAACATATTTTCAGATTGAACGTGAATTCAAGGTGGCCATTCTTAAGACATGTATGTTTTTAACAATAAAAAAGACAGTTTACAAGAGTAAAATAATCAGATGTTTGTAATTAAAGACTCCATTTAAAAATATATATTCTACAATGATAGTAGTAATGCACGCCACTGGGAACCATCAAACTGTTTGACAGGTCTTATTGTTCTGTCTGACAGGTCATTATTGTTCGGTTTCTTTTGAGTAATAATGATAATAATAATAGTTAAAATAATAGATTGACAGATGAATTGATGGCATATCATGGCATTATAGGAGTCAATGGCCTGGACAATTTTTCCTGAAATAGCTGCAAGGAATCGATTTTCAATTTTTTCAAGTGTTCCCAAGAAACTAATCAAACAAGAATGAAATTCGGATGATAGTTGACGCCCGTCAAAAGGCTGGTGAAGTGATCAAAGAAGTTCCAGGAAAATTAGCTTCAATTGAACCCATCAAAGTCAAATTAACCAAATCAGCACGTCCGGAGCTTCCGTGGATTGTGAAAGGTAGGACAGAAGATTTAGTCCTACACTACAAAAAGCTTATGAAAATCCAACATGATGACGACGTAGGGCATATGACAAGCCTCTGCGTAGGCTTGGCCATGGTGGGATGCATTGATGTTGAGTTTTATACGGATGTGAGGGCGAGAATTTTGCAGGAAATTGTCGATATTGTCGATCTATCTATTGAAGAATTCGTCCAAAACACCGGTTTGGATGTAGATTTAAAAGATCCTTCAGAATACGACAGTATATCTCCGTATTACTGCATGTATAATACTGCAATACTCCTAACTCTTATCGGAAAAAGGTTGAACGACCAAAATTATAGAGCCTTTGTTTTTTTGTTTTTTTTTTTACTAAATCAAATCAAAGAAGAAGTTGCAAAAGAGATGCAGAATATAGGAAGCGAAACCCAGGAAGTAACGCCTGCAAGTAATCAGCCACCTGCAGTTGTAGTGATGGCCGCACCTACAACTCTTCCCGTTCCAGGACGAGGGGGAACCAAGTGGTCCAAAGAAATAAACGAGCACATGGTGCACTGTTACTTCGAAATCACTCGGAACGAAACTACTGACCTACCCTCTGTTGTTTAGAGTAAAAATAATAAAAAGTATAATTTGTTGTAAATTTGCAACCGTGTGAAAAGAAGGTTAAACTCCATGGAATTGTGCTCTGGCTGAAAAATACCTACACGAGAGAAATAAAACAACGTTCAACTAATAAAGAGAAATAAGGATAGATGTATGAAATGAAACCCGTTTATCAGTAAGGAAAGGTATTTTTCAGCTGGAGACTCAAAACCGGGAGCTTCACCTTCTCAACGAGTGGATTGAGACTGGCGTCCGAGTGGCGTCCGGACATGATAGTTTAGTTAGTTGGTAGTCGCTTGCGAAAGAGCGAGATGTCCCTTTTTGGTAATAAAATCTAATTCATTTCTCCCAATCTTGGTTAATATTATTTTCGCTAAAAACGACACCCTATAGTGGATATTTGCATAGAATGGTGCTTGAAAGGTTCCCTGAACTGAGGAACAAGTCGATTCAGAACATGTTGGGCTATTTTGACTTATTCCTAGGTAGACTCCCCCCCCCTCTCCCTCCGTCTCCTTGGCCAGGGCCTCCAGAGACAAAGGAATAGATATATTTCGTCGGGTGCCAACATACGCCATGCAACAGTCCGCCTGGACGCGGGGATGTGGACAGAACTCGAATTCCTCAGATATGTAGGCCATTACGCCGATAACATGTTGGCGGCCAACAACATCCCGCCAGACAACATTGTGGAGGAAGAGGTACACTTTTCTTTCAAAAGTTGCCATAATTTTTTACGATGACGACATTTTAAAAATACTTTCGAGAGATTTATAAGTAGATGTAATTGGCACGTTTATTTAACAAGGGAGGAATAATTGTAGATGCCAGTACATGTTTCATGATGAGATGATTCATTTGATAATTTTCTAATTGGTAACGTCTAATTTGCCTAATTTCTTAAATCCCCCCCTCCCCCCTCACACTTTCACTCATTTGTGTTTAGAAAAAATTTCATCGACGAAGTCACCGGATATGCAACCGCAATAAGAATTTCTTTTTTATGTTATTCAGAGAAGTTTATTTTTAATTTTACCTTATTTACCAAACTCACTTAAATGAATGGGATAAAATATTGATGATTCGTTCAGCTTGCTTAAATTTGAAAATGTAATCATGTAGTTGCTTGATTTTACTTGTTTGTTTGTTTGTTTGTTTGTTTGTTTGTTGTGTAGTTGGTATTTGTTGGTGTAGTTTTGTAATGTAGTTAAGTTTCAAATCCCTCTGATGATGGCGTAAGCCGAAAGGCCTAAGGGTAATAAAAAGAATAAAATGGCAACATAATGGTTTGTAATTTATTACTTCATACCTTAATTTATATTTTATTATTTGTTGCTTTTCCAAACATGTATAAGTATGGTAGAAGAGTTAGAAATACGTCTTGGTTTGGGACACAATCAACTGGAACAAGATGTAAACGAGAGAAATCGCCGTGACCGTTGGAAGTGCATGTTTAAAAATCACTCAGACGACTCCCGCATGAAACTGACTCGATGAACTGACGCTACGATGAGCCTTAAGACGCCCCATGAAATCCAGAACGCCTCCAGAATGTACCCTACAACCCGCTCCTCGCGATCATACCATTGCTCTCGCCGTCGCCACCCCGCCATGACCAGACCCCGGAGCAGCCCGCCAGCAACTCCTCCGCCGTAACCGCTGCTACTGCCACAAGTAGGACATGCCCGCTGCCGTACACGCCCGAGCAGCTCGGCCGGGTCGTCGATGCGCTCAGCCCGAGCCTTCGCCACGACCCCACTGCCACGCTCGGGCTAGGGGACCAGTTGGTCCTCGCATTGGCGGCGCGCTACATAGAAACTCACCAGGGCGACGAGGCCTTTAACGGCGCACGTCATACCCTCCGCCACGCCGCGAGGCTGCTCATAGCCGTGGGCGAGCTGCGCACCCGCCTCGGTGGTCCCTCCCGCGTCCCCAGTCTCCTCGAAATCCTGGATCCTGCCTTCTTCCAACTCATCGTGGAGGCGGCTATGCAGATGTCGCGCTTTGTCCCTACCACCGGGGAGTTCGGGGTCATCGGCATGGCAAGCTGATAAAGACAATGCTCGATCTAGCCCAGAAGATCCGACTGGTGGGCGTCATAACGTTGCGCCACCAGTTGCTCCCGGAAGAGATGGCCCGTATCCGCAGGGACGTCTCGGACTTCCGGGAGGTGATGTCCCTCAACTGGGAGGCGGCAATATCCAACAGAGCTCGCCTCTGCGAGGCGCGCCGCTGGCACAACCGTGCTCTGGAGGGTCTTCCGGACCAGGGAGACGTGGACGCGGTAACAGCTCGAGCGCTGGAGCAGGTGGAGGAGGCTTGTCGACGGCTAGCCGTAGGCTAACGGGTTGACAAATATCAGAAATTGTCAAAAACTAAGCGAACAATCGCATAGTCCTTGCATTGGCCAGCCAATACATCGATTCGCACCAGGGCGACGAGGCCCTGAACGGTGCTCGCCGAACGCTGCGCGACGTGGCGAGGCTACTCCAAGCCGAGGCCGGCCTGCGCACCCGCAAGATAATTTTAAGGATTTTTAATTTCCTGTGGACATAAAATTGGTTACAATAATGATCATGTTGCCTTGATTTACATTGATGACATGATCACAGGTGATGATGATTGTTGCCTTGATCACTTAATGTGCAACCACCTATTAAGAGTTATATTTTACATTTTTGGATGATTGTTTCAGCATCCGAGAGGAAACCCATCAGCTGTTCAAAAATTATTCGGACATTTATGTAACTCAGATTCATCGAAACAACCTCTACGCACCGGTACCTTTTGGATTCCATCACGTAGTTTTCTTCAATGCTCAAAATTTAAGGTTGTTACCCCTCCGCCGAGAAGTAAAGGCAATTATGCCCCGAGTAGAATACATAAAGCTGGAACCAAGATTGAAACAAATGAATGTTGGAGAAATCTTGATTTATAGAAATCAGTTTTTCCTATGCGCAGATAAAAGCATTCAATCAAGATACAATGTGAAAATAGCACTGAAGGTAAGATAGTAAGATAATTAGGAAAGGCACCTCTTGTCATCTTGTATTCCATCCTCCAGGCAGTGTTTACTAAAATTTTATATTTTTCTTTATGAAATGAATATCGTTTAGGTGTTAGGTGATTTAGCCTATTACGGCTAGCAACCCAATAAATAGTGTAAATTCAGCAATTATCATTTTATTATTATGCATTTTTACAGCTACGCTCGTCATCATTCATGTAATTATTCAATTTCGTTCTCTTCATCAATTGGGTCATTGTTCAATTCGGTAAACACAGCTTTTAAAAATTAAAAATTAAACTAAGTATTTCATTTATCCTTACATAGTTACTTTGTATCAAATTGCTTTCCATGTTAAATATTGCTTTGAATATTGTTTAAAATTAAATTAGGCGAAATATGGTTGATTACACTTAGCATAAAGTACTTTAAGTACTTCATCCATTTTGACGTACTTATTATTAAAAAAATTTACATACGGTAATTTAGGTCTTTAATTCATTTTGAAAAAAAAAATAGTATTAAAATTTAAAAAGGTAATTATGCCGTTTAAAGTCAGTTACTTTATGTATATTCCTAATCAAGTCATTTCAACGTCGATTAAGGACAGCGATAAATTTCTTTCCTTGTAATACATTGCTTTTAAGAATGTTAAAAATTGAATTAGGGCACATACGCTTACTTATCATTTAATCCAACGTACTTATAACGTAATTTAAGTATTTAATGCATTTTTATTTCGTTTTCTTCGCATGTACACGTTGGAGATTTTTTTTCCCGGAGATGAGAAAAAGGCTTTTGCGGAAAAGAAGAGAGCCGAACGGAGGGCCAAGAAAATAGACAATCATCCGTTGGGGAAATTACTTCAAGAACTCATACCGTTCGCGGATCAAGGCTTGGCACCGTTTCCGAGAGTGATCGAGGAAATGAGGAGGCTGATGCATGACCCGATGTTCTACTCGGGTCTTGCGGATCCTCAACAGACGGAGTTGATGAAAATCTTTCGCGCGTGGGAACTCCAAATGAAGAAGTTGAAACGGACAGGAGAATCGCTGAGGACGTGTGGATGGCCGGATATCGCGACGCTCATGCAAAAAGATACATTCTTCACGATATTTATAAAAACGGAACTGGAGGAACCGGTGAAAACGGCGCTATGCGATCTTTGGCTAAACTTAGAACAGGCACCTAACTGTATTGCAGCGCACGGAGGACACTTACACGTCCTCCACACCTGCGACTACAACAACAGCACATGTAGGTGCTACCTCACCAAGATCCTTCGGGGCCGTTTCGGAAAATGGTTGGCTCGCAAATGCTCTAGCACACGAAACTTGTCAATCCAAAGATGGCGTGCTTTCGCAATTTATATGTCATCAGGAACACGGTCAATCCTTAATATTAACAACTCAGGAACTGCAACTGCAATGAAATGCATTTGCAGTTACATCGGCTACGGCCACACAAAAGAGTGCGACCAAGCGAGTCCTTTGAAACAGGCTCTTTTCAACAATGGACGACAAAGCGCCCAAATTTCCTAAGGGAGGAATGACAGGTGAGGCTTACGCCCTCCTGAATCCTCACCTTAGTAGGGAGCCGGGAAGTGTCTTGTTTCCACAAGACGTATTCGCATCAATTCTCGCAACCGCGGAATTAGCGAGTCCTGGTGTCAGCCATCGGGTTTCAATAGAAGATTATGTCAGTATGGTAAAAGAGTGCGACGTAACGAGTCCCTTAAAAAAGGCTTTTTTTCAACGATGGACGACGAAGCGCCCAATTTTCCAAACTTAACTCCACCCCTCTACCTGGAGCTCGCCAACGAGCTGGCTCTTACTACAAATGTTTCTGGAGACGTGAATGATTCACCCTCATTGTTTATTCTTGTTGTCAATGCTATAGATAGACATATTGGTGGAGTCCTACCCTTAACCAGCCTTGCCACTCGCAGCTGGAATGCCCCGATACTAACCTGGGGCTTTGAAGGGCCTTTCGGCATCAATTCTCCTCATCATCCCCCGCGTTTCGGGAACCCAATGAGCATAATGTCGTGGTTAGACACATTTCCAATAGAGTGGGGTCCAGTCGACTACCATACGACGGCTGACCTAAGGAATGAGGTTGTTATACAAGGACCGCCAAACACACGAGGCTGGTACGCTAGCGGTGGCACCCCGGATTACCGCGAAGTAATGCTGTCCACCTCTCCATATTCCCTGAAGCCTTATGGAGCCCTAGCGATGACAATTATTTCACAGGCTCTTACCGGTTTCCTACCACAAGGGCAGCCGGTATTTAGCTATCAGACATTTGCATGGGATCGGACCGGCCTCACCCCTGCCTTGATTGTGCCAGCTAACCCCAACCCACCGATATGGGATGGGATGCGTCGTTGCTTCGAACCATGCACCGTCCAGTCTTTTGATTGGCTTTCCAATACAGCATACGCACCTGTACTTCAAGAAGTGGTTGTTGGCCCACAGACACTCGAAGCGTTGGGCACCTCGATGCTGGATAATGCGATCCTTTCCTTTGGGTTTGCCATGGCTCTCAAGGTCACCCACCCTGCCCCGCCGACTACGGTTGTGCCCCTACCAGGCTTGAAAAGAAGAATGAGCATTAACTTCGGACCAAGCATATCTTCGGACGAGCCAACACCTCCACCAGCGAAAGTAGCCCTAAGTGATCCACCAGTGCCGTTACAACCCAGTACTGGAACCAACCCTTCCCCAAACTAACAGGGGTGCTGTGTGGTCTCTCACAGACAGCACCAACTGTCGGTGATTATTGCTGTTGCAATTCAACGCCTTATTATCTAACTCGATGCCTATGTTTTTTTTCCAATCATTATGTGGAACGCTCAGTCAATGAAAGGGACAATGACTCCATTCCACATTCAACTATGAGTTTATTGAATAATACTAGGTTAGGAATATATCAGCTGATGAGTTAACACTGGAACACTTTCGTGAGGAGTTTCAGTTTTTATCATTTTTCAGATTTTGCGTTTTAAAATGACACCTATTCCGTCTCTGGAGGGAGATTTGAGTTGTTTTAAAGTTTAATCTATGTAATTTAGGTTTGCTGGAGTCACAGGGAGCTGTTCCAAAGCATGTGAGACAGCTGAGCAATTTTTTGTCACTGCATCAGTTTGACGGAAGTCTTGAAATTTTACGCATTTTGATGAATCAAGATTTAATATCACACCTATTCAGCCTCTAGAGAGAAATTTGAGTTGTTTTAAAGCTTAATCCATGTAATTTAGGCTTGGTGAAGTCAAAGAGAGCTCATACAAATGATGGGGGACGGCTCTGAAATTTTTTATTACTGGAACACTTTCGTGAGGAGTTTCAGTTTTTATCATTTTTCAGATTTTGCGTTTTAAAATGACACCTATTTCGTCCCTGGAGGGAGATTTGAGTTGTTTTAAAGTTTAATCTATGTAATTTAGGTTTGCTGGAGTCACAGGGAGCTGTTCCAAATCATAAGAGACGGCTGAGCAATTTTTTATCACTGCATCAGTTTCACGGAAGTCTTGAAATTTTACGCATTTTGATGAATCAAGATTCAATATCACACCTATTCTGCCTCTAGAGAGAAATTTGAGTTGTTTTAAAGCTTAATCCATGTAATTTATGATTGGAGAAGTCAAAGGGAGCTAGTACAAATGATGTGAGATAGCTCAGAAATTTTTTATTACTGGAACACTTTCGTGAGGAGTTTCAGTTTTTATCATTTTTCAGATTTTGCGTTTTAAAATGACACCTATTTCGTCCCTGGAGGGAGATTTGAGTTGTTTTAAAGTTTAATCTATGTAATTTAGGTTTGCTGGAGTCACAGGGAGCTGTTCCAAATCATAAGAGACGGCTGAGCAATTTTTTATCACTGCATCAGTTTCACGGAAGTCTTGAAATTTTACGCATTTTGATGAATCAAGATTTAATATCACACCTATTCTGCCTCTAGAGAGAAATTTGAGTTGTTTTAAAGCTTAATTCATGTAATTTAGGCTTGGTGAAGTCGAAGGGAGCTCATACAAATGATGGGGGACAGCTCAGAAATTTTTTATTACTGGATCAGTTTCACGGACGTCTTGAAATTTTACGCATTTTGTTGAATCGAGATTTAATATCACACCTTTTCTGTCTATGAAAGGAATTTTGAGTTGTTTTAAAGTTTAATCTGTGTAATTTAGGTTTGCTGGAGTCGAAGGAAGCCATTAGGAATGATGTCAGACGGCTGAGGAATTCTTTATCATCGGATCAGTTTAACGAGAGCCTTGAAATTTTGCCCATTTTGGTCAATCACGATTTAATAGCACACCTTTTCGGTCTCTGGAGAGAAATGTGAGTTGTTTTAAAGCTTAATATGTGTAATTTAGGTTTGCTGGAGTCACAGGAAGCCATTACGAATGATGTCAGACGGCTGAGGAATTCTTTATCATCGGATCAGTTTAACGAGAGCCTTGAAATTTTGCCCATTTTGGTCAATCACGATTTAATATCAGACCTTTTTGGTCTCTGGAGAGATATGTGAGTTGTTTTAAAGCTTAATCCATGTAATTTAAGGTATGTGAAGTCAGAGGGAGCTCACACAAATGATGGGAGATGGCTGAGAAATTTTTTATTACTGGATCAGTTTCACGGAAGTCTTGAAATTTTACACATTTCGATGAATCAAGATTTAATATCAGACCTTTTTGGTCTCTGGAGAGATATGGGAGTTGTTTTAAAGCTTAATCCATGTAATTTAAGGTATGTGTAGTCAGAGGGAGCTCACACAAATGATGGGAAATGGCTGAGAAATTTTTTATTACTGGAACACTTTTGTGAGGAGTTTCAGTTTTTATCATTTTTCAGATTTAGCGTTTTACAATGACGGCTTCTCTTATGTGGCTTCTCTTTTTTGACCAGCATGGCTTCCACTGACTATGAAAGATACGCTTTCTTTGTCAAAAGTATCAAAGGGGATCCTTCCTCCGATTTTTGAAAATCATTCGCGAAAAATGGCGATTTTTACTTGAAAGAGGTCGTTTTGGCGAATATTTCAAAACAGACATGCTACAATTCTGGAAGAGGGCTTGGGTCACACTTCCCTCAAGTGCCGGTTCCAGGGCCGACAATGTAAGAGAAATACATTAATCGCATTGGAGACAGCCCAACGGGCACTGTACTGTATGACGGCTACAGATACGTAGCCGTCGTTAGCCGAAGCACAGCGGGCACTGTCCCGCAATCCGTCCTCTCTGATGTTTGGGATAAAATTAGAGCGCATGCAGGGGCGCATGCCTGTAATTTGTTTATAGTCGTAAATAATTTGGTGCATATCAAATTAGAGACTCTAGAAGACAAATTTACTTCAGCCCCCCGAATAACTGTGCTACAGCTACAGACGAGTAAGTCCGTCAAAGGCACTCATCACGGTGATCTTATTTTGACAGAAGACGGCCCCCCAATCATGCGCTATCAACCCGAGGCCATCGAGGAAATATTTGACTCCGAGCCAGAAGGAATGGAGGTGGATGAGCCCCAGCCCCCCCCAGGACGCCCAGGACGCCCAGCCTGTACAGCGCACCTCAGACTCTGAGGAGGATGAACCACTTGCGAATCTAATACGTGGTCGCGGGCGTGGTCGCAGCCGTACACGTGGTCGCGGCCGTGGTCAAGTACAAGCAGGACTCGAGTAATTCGTCCTGCCGCCCAGCCCCCCTTGCCCTCCTTGCCCGCCCAGCCTGCCTAACATGAAATCATCATTATATCTGATGACGAGGAAGAGCTAGTGGAGACAGGCATTAAATGTCCCGTTTGTCTGCTGCCAAATGGGAACATGTCATACACCTGCAGCCACATTTTCTGCGGCCCGTGTTTTGAGAGGTACTTTCCTGAGGAAAGATTTAGAAAATTATGTATTCAGATTAACTACCAGTGCAAAATTAACGGAAAAATTGCTGACTATTACAATAGATCGGCATCCAAACTGTTCAAATTGCAGTGTCAACTTTATCTTGTAAACTCGAATTTTAGATTTAAATTTTCATCCTGCATGTGAAGAGGATTTTTAAAATCTCCTGGAGAGCATCCTTTAAAACCTTGGGGCTGCTGAATCGCTTACCAAACAAGGGGATGCAATACTCGTTTTCACGTATATCACAGACTTCTTAACCTTTCTCCAGAGGCCGCGAAAAGGAATCAAGCAGATTGTCTGCCTGAGCCATTACGGGTCGGGATATGACGATGTTTTCATTTTAAAGAAAATGATTTCAGAGAGAAAATGGAACATCAAAATCATTTCTAACGGATGCAAATTAATCAGCATTAAATACGGAATCATTCATTTTAAAGATGGCATTTATTGGCTTTACAGTTCCCTGTCCAAGTTGCCGAAGATGTTGAGGTTGCAGCCTGCTAGTATTCAAATTCAACCTATTGATATTCGCTTTAAATCCGCCCTGCGCGCGCAGTTTCGTTGATGAGTAGCTCAACAAAACGTTTGTGAAGACAGATATGGCCTCAAGTCCAACGATTGAAGAATTTTTCGAAGAATTTGTGTGGCTAAGAAGGTATGAAATCTGTTCCTCACAGAACTGTTCTCCTCTTGCTTTTTCTATCGCGATGAGTCACCGCAAATCAATTTTCTTGCGCGGAGAAAACTCCATGGGACGACGAATCCGATTTGGGTGGTCAAGCTTCCGAGATGTCTTGAGAAGACACCAATGCGTTTTTATTTCAATTTTGTCTTATCATTTTTACTTACAGTAATTCTCTGCCTTTGGAGCTTAGGTTTGTGCCCTCAAGCATTCGTCACAATTTAGTGACTTCAAGTGAGTTTTGTCGCGGCTTAGGTTACATTTTAGTAACTTTGATCGGGTCTCATTACAGCTCAAATTCCAATGGTGTAACATGGTACACACTTAGCCCCAGTGCTTAAAACTCACTTCATTTTATGCGCATTAAGTGTTACTACATTTCATTGGTAATTGCAAGTTAAATTGGACCTCTTACAAACACGCGAGTTCCACCGCCTTGTCTACATAGGGTACTGAGAATGGACATCTCTGTTCTCACAGCACAGGCAGAGATGCTTATAGTCAAAAGTATGACCCCCAAAAATATAATTTTTTCAGCAATTCTCTAGGAAATTAACAGGTTTGAATCACTTGAATCACCGATTCCAGTTTTTTTTTTACACTTGGGGACCTCGAAACAAAAAGCCATTCATTATTCTTTTATTGTATCCTGAGCTAAAATCAGATTCCTTGAAACAGATACCATCAAAATTATGAGACAAAATTTTACTAAAACTCCTCATAGCAGACACTAATTTTAAAATTTCCAAGTGTCTTTACGAAAATAACATTAAATTTACCAAATTATCTCAAACATTCATTGTAAATGTCTTTCTTGTAACAGCCATTCTTATGACAGACAAACATTACAATTTCAATTGGCAGCAATGGTTACTGATTCTGCTGACCAATTGTGGATTTTATTGATTGTGGCTTCATTACTAATTGAGAAAAACTCAAGATTTTAACATCACATCTTTTACTTGTAAACAAAATTCTTGCCTCATCTGAATGAGTATGATTTCTTGTCCATTCATTGTATCAGTGTCATTGACATACTTTTTTATTTAGTTACTTATTTATGTTTAAGGATTAGACTTGAAGATTCTAATTTTAATACGAAATCGCTTTTTTAAAAATGTCTGTCAAAATGCTTTTCAAAATTTTCTTCCTATTGATAGTAAAATGCTGATGTATGTGACTTCGTTACAGACAGACAAATTGGGATATAGGGAAAAAATATTTTCTTCAACAAGAAATTCTTTGGAATTTTTGGATTAAATATTTCTCATTTTTCACCCTTAATGCTACTTGAAGATCATTGCGAAGATTGGCCGAGTACAAGGGAAACTCAGAACAATATCCAGATCACAGTCTTCTTTGGTGGAAAAATTACACAAATAAGGATATCTGTAAAAAACATCCTGCTTGCAATATCCAAAATTAAGGTAAGTAAAAAAACTCATTGCCTAATGATAGAGATAGGCTCTAGACAAATTGTTTCCTGTCATGCAGAGGTTTTCATAACCTCAAACAATGGAAATTATTCGAAGCGCTTAGTAATGCGAGATCTTCTCTCTTACCTTAGTTCATCCGCTCCTCAGAGTGGTCTGAAGAAATATAAGGTTTCAACAGGGATTGAGGCAGTGAAGCAGCACAACCAAAAAACTCAAAGCACACATTCCCACTTATCTCCAGTTTTACTTCGATAGCTCGAAGCCTCAGTCATAGTATTCTTTCGTCAAGAAAGAGCATAAATGAATGAATCATTTCCTGGATATTTGTTATACTGAGGACGGATTATTTTGCTTGTTGGAGCGAAGTCGTGCAAGGCCAGATCTTTCTTCTTCCTCGTCACTTGTATATGATGACATCCCTGCAACAGCACCCCGCGATGATGTTGCTTGCATCAGTTCTTGATCAGGTCCATTCCTATTCTCGTACAGCAGAATGTTCAATGCTTCCTCGTATATTCTTGCTTCTGGAAACTCAACCTGTGGGCATCATCCAAATTTCACATGAGTTTTCCACTAAGAAGATTATAGATGCATCTCTGCATTTGTGACATAAGACGTTAAACTTAAAATTCGCCTGCTTGTTGTATTTTTTCCGAAGAAAGCTACTTTGATGAATTATATATTTTAAATGTTTCAAAGTATAGTATCTAGAATTTCTTATTTTCTTCATTCTCTCTGACAATTGACACAAAATTCCACTGATGAAAGTCCGGATATTCCTCTCACTATCCATCAGAATTGATAGGGGAATTCTTGATTTTCCCCAGGATTTCAGGAAAAAGATATCAATTTTTTCATCTCTCTCAAAATAGTTGATCGGGCCTGTATCAACTAGGGCCAGAAAATTACTGAATATGATCTCAGAGAAGAGATACAATTGGTTCCTGGTTTTTAACACCCATTCTCTGATAAAATCCCTGATGAATCCTGGTGTTTTGATGGGTCCTAAACACCGTTTCTTAATGGTATCTTAAGTAGACTGATAAAAATCTACAAGAAATTTTAAGCAATATTCTTGTTTTTTCATAACATTCCTACTTCTTTTCCAACCAAGTAGACACTCTGACGAACTCCTGTCGTGGAAAAAAAGATAATATTTAAATTCAGAAAAATACAAATGAAAATTAAATGAAAAAAGAACAAGTTCATAATAAAATTGAATTTTTCTCACTTTGGTATGTTTTTTGTCTGTGGCATAAACAATTGATGTACAGCAGACTTCGGAAACTTTTTTACAGTGGCCGTAGAAACTCCAGCAACAAATTTCACTTGAACCAATGACATCTTTGATGAATAAAACTCGACCACTGAATCTAAGAGATAATTTGTCGAATAGCTCTATGTTTTTCAGTAAATTATCATCTGATGCTCTAAAATGGGCAGAAAAGATTACATAAAAATTAGAAATTTAACAATCTAATTGTAGATTTTGGCATAAGTGCATACTGGGGAAAAAAAAATTAAAATTGAGCACCTTAGTGGATACATTTGTTGCAGGCAAATAGCAAAATCAGGCATTTTATCAAAGGGACCGCTTTTAACAGAGAGGAAACAAGCCACATCAGCTACTGTAAAATTTAACTGAGCAATTTGATTTTTTCATTTTTTTAATGCTTGTGCGGATTCCCATGAAAATTTCAAGGACTTTGCTTCGTATTACGCAGAAAATTCACTGAAATTTGGACGAGATTCCGCAAGACCTTTTACAAGTAAAAAATTAAACCGCCCAATTCAATTTTGCAATAGCTGATGTAGCTTGGTTTTTGCTTAACACCGTCCAAATGCACAGGCAGATATAGTCAAATTCTGATATTTTACGTGATTTCTTGCGTTTGTGATGAAAACTTATTATTGCGTACTCTCTTGCTCTTGGCTGTTGGTAATTGAACCTTGCTTGCCTGAGACAAGATAACAACAAAAACAGAAAATTGAACTGTCTATCTTACACACAAATATTAACTTAATCAAAACCATAATTCCATTTTTCTATAATTTAAAATCATATCTAATGTAGCAAAAACTAGACAGAAATACGAATAATGGCAGTAGCCAGTTCCCGCATGATGAACCGTAATCATAGCTGCAGAAGGTATAACCTCATCATCAGCCGTCATAAACACTGTCAATTTATTCTTCTTCCATTATCAGCTGATAAATAGCAAGTTCCACCGATGAAAAGGCTTAAACGAACGCAGTCCATCAGTGAATAACCTCATAATATCTAAAACAGCTGACTTACTATCTCAATGAAAATAGGCCACAAATTAATCATTGCAATATTGCCAAATTGTCAAACAATCCTTGCAAATCATTTAATATTACTTTTAAACAGCTAATTTCAATAATCCACCTTTTCTTTAGGATCATTTCGATAACATTCCATCAGAAATACATTTGAGACACCCCTGCGTTGTGTATAATCTTGGTCACGGCACCAAAATGTTTCTCCATGATTTATTCCAAAAAGATGAGGTTATCTTCAACTTCCAATCTCATGCTAATATGAGCTTTAGTTCAATAATACCATAAGAAATAATGCAATTGACTTACAGAAACACACCTAATTTAATGACAGAAACTGAAATGACAAATACCTAACACAACAGACTGAAGATATCTTGACTCAAAAGGGATGACAAGGTAGAAAATGTACGAAACAAGGACAATCCCAAAACCACTTAAACCTCCACTCTTATACATACAGAGATGCTGAAAACAGCATTTCTATGGTAACGGTCACACAACACCTATCAAGTTTTCAATGATTTGGAAGAAAATATTCATCAAGTCTACGAAATTTTCTGAGAGTTTGCTCTACAAATGCTTAGCTTATATTTCAACTGTCAAAATTTTAAAAATTCAGTATTTAATGACATGCTGCAAATTTTAAGAAAGATGCTCCTTTAAGCTAAAAATTATCGATTTAATATTGTATGATGCAAAGTTTTTCAAAGGATTCTCTCTTACAAAGAGCAAAGAATTATATTGTCCATATAAGATTGGCAAAAAATCGGAATTTTAATCAAAGTGAGAGTTGTTGACCATCTGCCTCGGCGCTTGACAGAATGCCTGATTTGAATAATTGCTTACAGCATATTCATGTGAAAATATTTTCTTCGTGCCACTGTGTGGCAGAATTTTCTGTCTTCCTGTCCATCTTTTGCTTATTTTGGCTGAATTTTAGTTTTGTTTGGTGCAGCCCTAGGTGCTGTCCCCTTGTCTTTAAATGAAATACTACCTACTGCTTGTTTTGTCAATCTTCCAACACTATTCTTCCTGTTTCAGCTCTATCCTCTTCTCAACCAATATTATTGGTAACTTGAGAGAAAATAAAGAATAATCAAACATATGGAAGAGAAAAGATTCACAGTGGCAAAATAATGAATTTTTAAGCTTGTATCAGCAAAAAGTATCGTGTGTTTATGAATGATAAATATCTCCGCTTCAAATTATTTGAATTGCTACATTTTTAAGTTTCAGGCCTGAAATAAACTTGAGATACCAAGTCTTATAAAATTGTTACCTAACTTTAATGTGAACCACTGAATCAATTCTATATTCTACGCCCTATTCTATCAAATGCATAAGATAAAAATGCCAATTGCCAAATCATTTTTTGAGATCACAAAAAACTGAAGAAAAAAAATTAGCAATTCGATTTCTGGAGCAAAGCAATAGACCAAGAACTTTTTGATTTGGTTGCATCATTTAACAAGTGCCGAGATCAAGAGAGGCAAGATATGGACATTGTAGATACGCAAATGAATTACTTTTCAGGGAGTCAACATTTTTTGTACTTATTACCGTTAGGTAAGGCCACTTCAAGATTTTTACTTTAAAATAGTTCATAAAAAGTTAACAAGTGGAGCAAAATATAATAATGATCCGCCAGAGAAAACAAGAAAACGTTTTTGTAAAAAAATACTTACACTGTGTATGAATACTTATTATTATGGCGATTAATGAGTAGTTTCACAACTGGCTGAAACAAACAAGTTAGAAAAAAATTTACATTAATAAATCACTCCGATTAATAATATTGACTGTTTCATAAAGATAAATAGACAATATTCTACTTAAAATACTGAGCTTTATTGATTGGTAAGGTCCATAGAAATTTTAGCAAGTTTCGTACACTGAGTAAGTGTTTTTCTTACAGACAAGACGAAATAATTCCTCTTTTTTGGTGAAAGAAAGAACCCATGCACATAATTTACATATACTACAAATAAAGGCAGTGCAGTTGGAGAAAAACTTTCACCAAGGGAGTGATATTGTGCTCAAATATTCACTAACTGAAGTAATTCGAAGGTGGTTTAAACTCTTTTATTTTATGACCTCATTTTTAAGCACGATCAGCTTTAGAGGAAGAGCTCAATATTTGAATTCTGAGACAATTTGTGGGTTTTCCTCCGGTAGTACAGCATCACTGCTGTGTCTGCCGTCCAACTGCAAGGAGAATTTATCTTGTCTCCTTGACCAAGAAAGACGCCTGTCCTACATTTTCGATCAAAGGCTAAGTGACAAATGAAAATGGAAGTGTTGAAAAATTCACTTTTCAGCCCTGTGTTTCTTAAAACGGCGTGTAGCAAGTAGCAATATTAAAACCTTATGTTAAGAGGGTTAGCATAGACTGCCACAGTCTCCTCACATTCCAATCTTCTCTCCAGGGAGTTGGCACTCCCCTCATTTTTCTCAAGACCATCTTTTACCGCCTTTTTATTGGATGTCCCTTGGTCTCCTACCAGGAAAAACCCGAGTAAACATCCCTTTTGATAGCCTCTCTTCCTCCATACAGTAAGCATACCAGTAACAAATCAGCTGTTTGGTTATGGCCTCTCTATTACACTCTTGGGCACAACAAGGAATCCTTCTCAAGGAGTCCTCGAGTTTACAGTGGAAGGGCTCTGCTAGGTTCCTAGAAATTCCCATTAACTCCCAATTTAACTGAAAATTTACATGGAAAACCTAACCTATGAATCGAATTCATCTCATTTTTATGGTTTTATATTTTCTTACAGCAATGGATGTAATACACACAAGAGATACAGCCACCTGAAAACACTTTTTGCATGTAAAAATTGCACAAAAATCATGTCGAGCACAACAATAATGTTTGAAATCCATCCCCTAATGCAATGTGCTTGAATCATATTGTAAATTTAAAAATTTACTAAATCCAGGGGGCAATATTTCTTCGGCTCCAACAGTTGGGTTTAACCGGAGAGGGATCTTGGAAAGCCAAACCTGAATAGACGAAAAAATCTCACATTTGACGGTAAATAATTCTTGACCATTTTTACCCTCCTCACTTCTTTGCCTTGTAAAAATAACTGCTTAAAATCAATTTATATCACACATGAAAAATATGTGTAAAAATATCTAGGTAGATCGCTCTTTTACTTGTATTTAGAATAGGTTTGTGTACATCTTTTTCTCTGGGCACATCTTAGTGCTTGCAATAGAGGAAACTGCCTACAGACAAATAAAATTAAAAAAGGCTGGTGCAAATTACATATTTCAAAATATTAATGAGTAGAAATCATGGTTCAATTTTTTATGTGCTCGGTGTGATTTTTTTTCAATTTTTCAATAAAGAATGTAGGTGCTAAGTTGACTGTCTTCCTTGTGTGTAACAGACCCATTGATGGAACTGATTGGCACAGGTTGAAAATCTAGTCTGCTCTAATTTAAAAGGGTAAAAATTCTTACTTTGAGAGTGGAATTGATTAATATCTGTTCTTCTCGAAGAGACGTAATTAGAGGTACACGGCATATCGGCTCAGCTTCCCTTTCTAATTTTTTTAGAGCTCTGTCACAAGATTCTGACAGTTCAGAGATACAGTAATACTTTGCTTCAGCCATCAGCTCGGCCATTTCCTTTGCAGTATCAGGGAGAGGAACTACACCATCACGTAAGAAGTTCAGAATTGCACCAAAATGTTTGCCACATCGATCAATCAAAATCCAACCTGGGAAGCAAAATAGAATTACGTCATTCACCACATAAGTCCATCTTTAAATTAGATTCACTTTTAGCAGCTTTGAATTTTATACAAAGTGTCAAAGTAAAAGCATGAATAAGTGACTCTAGATCAAAGGCAAAGTTCAAAACACTTTCTCAAATTGAGGATTTTCAAAGGAGTTCTAATGGGTAAAAGCAAAAGCTTCCGAGTGTCTTGTCTCGGCTTGTAAACGGACACAAAATTTCAACAATTGGCCTGCTGATCATTACACATCGTATGTATACTGCATTGTAAACTGCGTGCATACTGTCCTTTAATTCAAGCAAACATTCTGTCTTCCTCTATTTCAAGTTGACACCTTTCTCGATTAGTATCATGGATAAATGGATGTATTCATGCCAGAAAGAACGATGAGAAAATTAATCAAATCAAAAAGAACTATGTGCATAGGGTTGCCATGCTCTTCAGTTCCTTTTGATTTTATGGCACATAGTTTCTTTTAGCCTGAAAAAGCCCAAAAGTAACTGTGATGTATGGTTAATAACATGGTGTAGATTTGATAGAAAATTATTTTGAGATTCAGTAACAAAGTCCGTTACAATAATGATGGATTCTAATTTGACTAAAATTCAAGGGGTGAAGCTGCATTATCTGCCCTGCTATTAATAAACTTGAATCGATCGGTTTAAACAATAAGGCTTATTAGTGCAGTTTTTTAAAAAATTCATGAATGAATAAGTACCTACTTTCAACTAAAATTGGTCTTAAATGTGTTCTGTGAGGAATTTACTGCTAAAATCTAATTATTAGGCATCTTTCTTTTTGTCTTGAAGCTCCAAAGAAAATTGAAACTTAAACACAAGTTTTTTGAAACAGCAAAACCTGTAGTTATGTGCCTTGTTCTCCAAGCCCTTCTTTTCAATCCTGAGATAATATTACTTACCACATAAAGTATATTTGCATTGCGTTAGGTGCCTGGACCTGAAGCAAAGATACAAAAATCAAATTTCTTCCTTCCAGCTTACCCATATACTTACTAAGTTAAAATTATATACATTACCTACTCATTAGGATCGCAAGCTGAATCCGCATCTGTTGAAATACTTAAAGGGAAAACACCCAAGAGTTGCAAAAGTTAGTCAGGAAAGTTATGGTTACCAGTGGACTAACAACCACATTGAAAAGGGGCAACAGGGCAGATAAATACCCAGCAAGGGACCAAAGGAATAGCAGCCTACAGCAGTAAGCCAAACGCAGGGGCAGCAGCTCCTCGCAGAAATCAGATGTTGCAAGTCTCCTTCCGCAATAAAAAGGTCCTTCTGTCACTGCTTGATTAATTTGTGCGGACCAAAATTTACGCGAACTACCAGCTTCAAAAACATTGAATGATGTAGACCGCGCATCCTGTGTTACAGAAAGCGAGACAACTTTTAAGAATTCGCATGCTGATGAGTGTTGGCACTGAGCTGCATCGATGAGTTAGTATGTCCCAATTGCGCACATTGGCGCAAGCGCAGTAGCGACTTCAGTGAATTTGTTTCAAATTGTGAGGCTTTTTTTCTTGATTAATAATTAGTTCGGCAAAATGAAACATTGCGATTCGATTGTAAAATTATATGTTTTAAAACTTTCCTTCTTAGGAATTTCATCTGAAAATGAACTTGAAACAAGATATTAGTGAAAAACTGAGTGCGCGAGGAATTCTCCTTTGCTTCTCTGCTATCTCTTCAAGTGCTTGGGACACACGCTCTCTCCCTTTCCCTACCCGCCCATCATGGGGCTCCGAGAGATTTGTCTCGCTCCGCCTGTACTAAACAGAGCCAGACACACGGTCTACTTGATTCATTGTCTTTGATCAGCTTATAAGGATGATATGGGGATTACCTAGGTGCCTAGGCCGTAAACGAGGGTCCAAGTCAACTTCAACTTGGCTGTACTGATGTCGGGTACTGTGCGTCTTTCATTAAGCCAGACTGATAGACAGGAAATAAGGAGGCTGCAGAGACAGTATCTTACCTTCTGAATCCGTTAATACTTCCATTCGTCCGCTGAACATGGCTCGGAGCATGGTATCATGTTTCGTGAGGGTTCCGATGGTTGTGTAATGCAGGGATCCGCCAACATTCAATTTTACATACTGAGATGGGTTACCTTTGATATAGTTTTTATGATCACCAGACATACTGAGCTTTTTGGAAAAACTGAGAGAAAAGACTAATGAAAGTAAACCTTTGTGAAAACAGCCATGACAAGTGCGATGAATACTGTACCGTTCGTCAGCAAACTTTTTTGTCAACAAGCGCCTCCTCTCCCCTCCTTCCTGTCACCACGTTGGTCACCACCCATCCAAGCCAGACTTGTCACCAAGCATCGTTTTCGTTGTTCACCGTTCACCCCTACCCCCTACCTTAACCTCAAAATTCCAATCTGTGTTCCACGCGACAATTTTCGACGCTATTCAGTGCATGGTGAATTAGTGGGTGTTTCTTTATTTATTTTAGGTCTAATAAACAGCGCTACACACATGCCTCCGAAGAAGCAAGAAGGCTCTGGTATGTAGAAAATTCCTTAAACTAAATTCAATCTCTAAAACCCGTCAGGAAAACTGGAGGGAAGCCCAGCGGGCTTGGACATGGAACTGATAAGATCACGGGCATGCCTTTTGTCATTTGGCTAGCTTACGCCTGTGCTGAATGCTGAATTCTTGAATCAGCTCTCAAAAATTGGTACTCAGTACAAGGTTAGATTCTATAGTGCAGCTTATAGTAATCCGATTCAGCTGGAGACCATCCAACTGGTCTTTTGCTCTGTGATGAAGTAACGACGGTGAAAGTCGGCAATCACGTAACTCGTTTGCGGTGTCTGAAAATCTCCGCCTCTACATCATTTTTTTAAAGGAGAGCAAATTGACTTTATTTCTTGAAGTTTTTGCAGAATTTTCTTCGCATTGAGAAGAAAAATCATGACAGTTTTAAAGAATTGACGTTGAGTAGTTTTCCAATTAAAAAATAAGTAAAGTATGACAGAAAGTCTGCGACGTTGCAAACCGAGTTATGTGATTGCTGACTTTCACCGTCGAGTAAGCTGCATTGTTGAAGTAAACGTATCCAATACGTTGTTCTGTTTGCAAATGCAACCCAATGGCAGCTATCGCCCTCCCTAAATCGTTGTGCGTTTGGTTGAAAGGTTGGTCATTTACATGTAAACGCCCAAGTCATTTGCTAATTTTAAAGGAGCTCAACTACGCCGACCATTTGGAATTAGAGTAAGTATGTTTTCAAATGGTCCCATACAGTTTACTTCAACAATACAGCCATAGATGTTAGATTGATGATGATTAATCAGAGTATGTCCAGGATCTCGATTGGTTGCACTTTATTGAGAATTTTTAGGTATAAGATATGGTCTTGGTTGCTCAGGAAGAGGAACGCACAACGAAAGATAAACCTCACTAAATTTTGTAGTCAGTAGAGTAGACTTTCAGTTAAGTATGCCTCTTGGAACTCCTAAGGAAGGTCTATTCACTGCAATCAGGAGAACTTGTCAATCATTCACCGCTATCAGTTCATGAGTGCATTAGTATGCTTGTGCTGTTCAATTTTTTTTTTCTTTTAAAAAAATCAACAAACCGAAAGCAAAATCCCTGATTGAGAAACTCCCTCTTGAAGCGGAGTGAAGGCCTACATCTAAGAAGACAGAATTTCTTCCCCTACCTAATATTTAATTTTGAACTTATTGCTCTCGATTTTTTACAAAAATTTCCAAGTTAGTATTTATCCTTCCACATGTTGATTTTTATATTTTCTCCTAAAATTGTTTTATCTTCATATTTTTGATAATTCTTGTTCATTTTTAGGGGCCAAAAAGCCTGCTGCAGGGTCATCCTCGGAGAAAAAGCCCGCCGCAAAGGCTGAGAAGAAACCAGCTGCATCTGGCTCTGCCAAAGCTGAGAAAAAACCAGCTGAAAAGAAACCAGCAGAGAAGAAGCCTGTAGAAAAGAAGTCTGCCGAGAAAAAGCCAGCTGAAAAGAAACCAGCAGACAAGAAGCCGGCAGAAAAGAAGCCAGCAGGGAAGAAAGTAGCTGAGAAGAAACCAGCCGCCAAGGGTGCTGATAAAAAGAAGGCTACAACTGATAAAAAACCCGCTGCTGCCAAAGGAGTTAAATCTGTAACGAAAGATGCGTCCAAGAAAGATAAGTCTGAGAAAGCAAAGAAAGAAAAGAAGCCTCTGAAAGCCTCAACCGGAGCAGAGAAAGATGCCAAGAAAGACAAGAAAGATGGCAAGAAAGAAGGGGACAAGAAAAAGAAATTCGATAAGAAGCGTGCACCCAAGAAACAAGATAAATACAAGCGAGGTCACAAATACCGGAAAGCAGGTACAACTGTTGCTGCTGTTGAGCAAGCCAAAAAAGCAGGGCAAAAGGTAAGTGTTTTAAATGAATTTTATCCTTGTTATTTCTTTCGTTTTCTATTTTTAATATCAAGTAGCAATGATGAAATATGTAAAACTCCATACCATTAGTACCGTGAATTAAAATTCTCTGATCTTTATTGGGATGGATTGAGCTGAATTCAACCTGAGGAACTACGACGTCGGAGGTTGTTCCATTTTCTCTGATATTTTATCTTGTAAACAGTAAACCAATCAGCTCCAGAACTTGAAATTTTGTGGGAATACTCCCAATAATCAATCACTAAATCGCAAAAAATTAAAGTACTGAGGCATTAAATTAATAGGTCAGTTCTCTGTTTAAAAAATATGACATAAGAGGAAATGGGTAACAAGAAATGCGATTAGGGATTCCGTATTTCAATGCATCCATTTATGTCTGTATTAATTAGAATTCGTAGCTCCCACAGATTATGTTTTATCTCTACTTAGAGGTTTGGAAAGGTAACTTGGTTATTCAGTGACAGTCAATTCACAGTCATGTCCAATTTTGATTTTGTTGCTATTATAAGAACTTATGTAGATTAATTGTCCCACACAATTTAGGAATTCTTCATTTCGTTTTTATCATATGGTTTTTTTTTCCTCCCTCCCACAGGTTGCAAAAGGAGTCCATGGAACCCGTACTAGGAAAATCAGGACATCTGTTAGTTTCCACCGTCCTAAGACCTTTAAGCCACCAAGGAACCCGAAGTACCCCAGGAAATCTGTCCCTCACCGAAACAGGTCTGTAACTCAGATTGATGGTAATCTTTTGATAGTTGATACAGAAGTGTTTCACTTCATGTTTTATATTACCTAAAGAAGAAGTCAAACGATTTTGAAAAAATTACAATCTAAGTACAAAATTTTGTCAAATATAAATATACAAAGTTCGAAAAATTTCCTCTTAGATTTTAAGTATCATGCATTGATGGCCCAAAGTCATCCGCAGAGCTGGTGACTGGGGGTGCAAAAGGTCTAGAGGAACCCACTGCCTAGTCGTGAGGGTGCGTGCAGCGCGCCCCGCAAAGCTAGTAGAAATATAAACACCAAGCTCACTCACTCTTTTATAAGTATGGCTCGTCATAAAGCTGATGACGGAATGTGTTCGAAAACAACTTTTCTTTTTATAATAAAGTGAGTGTGCTTAGAGTTTATATTTTTATAGGTAATTGAAGACTGGTTGCACCCACTACAGAGTCTCAACAATTTTAACACTTAAAAGGACTAAAGGAGCATTTTGAAAAAGGAATATACAATGATAGTTTGTACTTATTAAATTCTTTCTTTCTGAAATTTCAAGAGCCTTTGTAAACACGTATGTAACTTTACACATTTCCAAAATTTGACCATCCGTCTCCATACTTCATAAAATGCCTGATTAAAGTATTTGCCTGCAACATATATTGATGACTAAAGTGCAAAACCACGTATCTCCTTCGCTGTGTTTAAATATTTCTGCTCCTATTTTATTTTTTTAGAGAGAAACGAGTCAACTCTATACCTTGAAATTTCTACAGAATATTCTACTAATGGAGGAGGAAAATTTGGGAAGTTTTCAAGGCATTAAAGTTGCTCAATTTTCTAGTGAAAAAATGAAGTATGGCAGGAAGTCTGCAGTGTCGCAAACGGAGGAGGAGGTTTCACACTTTGGCCATTGATATGTCTTCCATTGGCACTGCAGAACTCCCAAAAATTAACGGATTTCATAACCTACCTTTTCTTTGATTCCAGAATGGATCACTTCAACGTTATTAGGTATCCATTGACAACTGAAGCGGCAATGAAGAAAATAGAAGACCATAACACGCTAGTTTTTATCGTTCACTTGAAGGCTAACAAGTACCACATTAAAGCTGCCGTTAAAAAGTTATATGACATTAAAATCTCTAAAGTTAACACCATGATTAGGTGAGATGCGAATGACTTGTACCTTCTTTTTGTTGGAGTTCATTTGTGACCAGAACTATGAAAGATACCTTATCTTGTGGGAGAAAATTTTCCTAAATTTTTAACCAGTGTTTTCACCTAAACTAAGAACTTTCTTCTTGGAATTTCAGAACTGATATCTTTCTTTCAGTTTTTGAGATTTTAGGGTCAAACTTGCGCCAAAATTTCCTGATTTTCTCCCTTTATGCATTTGCGAAAAGTGACTGAAAAAGATCCCTTTTCATGAATCTGGTCACATCTAAAGTATTCATCTTTTGCACCATCATCCAAAGACTCCATCAGTATGATTCGTCGTATGATTTTCTTAGATAATTATGTTTTATCCTAGTAATTCTATTAAATGTATTATTATATATAGATTACTATCCTACCCTTCATCAGAGTTCTTTAGTTCTTAGGAGCCAATCCCCCCCCCCCCCCCCCCCCCCCCCCCNAATCAGACGCAAAGCAAATTTTTTCAATACCGAGGAGGAAAAAAATACTGTTTGATAAGGTGAAAACTCTTCATCGGGCGTGCTGTGGTATTAGGACCACCTTTAAAGTTTGAGTCACACAGTAATAAGCATTACAAAAACTGGCTAAAGGCTTTAATTATATCTCAATCAAGTTAAGAGGAACAATGCACAGGACCTGAATTTACTTTTCTCTGGAATCTGGAGACAAAATACTCAAAACTGAGCTACCCAGTGCTAGTTTTCTGATAGCAACGATGCGCCCAGTCATTTCAATATATTTTCAGATGAATCAAATATGTTCAATGCAATGAATGAATCATCATTTTTTATAAGAATAAGCAAAAGTAGTAACAGCAAGAAAACAATTACAAGCCTAAAAATGGACAATCGGGTAATAACAAAATTATGACCCTACTCTTGCTTAAAACTAGGAGAACTCTGCCTTTTTTAATGTAAAGATGGGCAACTGATCAGTGTATTATTTTTAAATACCTACTCTTGTTTTGTCTTCGTATAGTAAGTCATAAAGAGTTTACTCAGACTAACTTACTCATCTCTTTTTTTCAGACCTGATGGTAAAAAGAAAGCGTACGTACACCTTGCTCCTGACTATGATGCTCTGGATGTAGCGAACAAGATTGGTATTATCTAAACAGTTTTGCACTGTTTTTTTACTGCGTATGTTTTGTATATTTTAATAAATGGAACTGTTATTTTCTACAAAAATGGGTCCATTTGATTTTTTATGATTACAATAATAAACCAAAGTTCACCTGCGAAAGGCTATATGGACCGAGTTCATCAGAAAGGAACCAACCCACATTTTGGAAAAAATTGAGTTAAGGATGTTTTTAAGTTCCTCTAGTTGTATATTTTGCCTAAAACTGAAAGTTGAAAAAAAAAGAGATTAGTTTGTGAAAAGAGAGGTTAAATTTTTCAGTCTACATTGAGTCTTATGGAGGATTAAAACTTCAAACCTCTTTTTCTCAGTTTCAACTTGATGTGGGTTAGTTCCTTTTTGATAAACTTGGTCCATATAGACCTTGAAAAGGCATGCTCATGAGCAACACACAGGAGAAGATGAGGTGTAGCCAGGACAAAGAACCCAAGAGAAAGTCTCAAGAAAAGCGTTAATACTGGCAAGATCCTTATTGACAGTGACGGTGCTTGCCCGATGAATACTGAACTAGACTCTTGGTGGGCTATCATGAGGGGATATTCAAGTAAAATCCACGGAAACCAACTCAACAAAGTAATTTTTGATGTTGCTATCGTTTAATAAGTCTAAAAAGTCACATACATATTTACCAGTAATAACATTAGAATATTAAAAGCATACATATTATAATATTGAAAATTTATTTTAGGAAGATGAAAACTTTTAGTCTCGGGTGGACTCAAACTCAGAACCTTATGCATACCAGTCAGGCGCCATGTCCTCTTGGTTACTTGTAATTTGTGACATGTATGGAGTTAGAATTTTTTCAGATTTTTCAGTCCTTTAACACCCGTCCTGATAGCGCAGCTGATCAAGAGACCGCTATACTACTGAATATGAATTAGATATTTGGTGTACATAATCTCATACCTCAAAAGTGTCACCTGTGCCTCTCTATGCACAAAGTCGCTTCAAATATTAAATCTATCGCTTCAAATATTAAATTTGCAGAGAGAAAAAAATAGAGAAACTCACTTGTTAGGATGCCTTCGTATTAATTTTCAATCAAGTGTAAACCTCAGGTCGGTTAGCAAAAAACAAAATGTGATCATGGTATGAAATTTCGAATTTTCATGATTATATAATTTTGATTTTATTAAAACTATTCAATTAGCTAAACTTTTAAGTCGCTAATTTTATCTACCTCATACTTTAATGCTCAGTCCATCTTAAAAGACACTGAAGTTGCATTCAAAGAAATCAGATTTTTATGCACACGATGTTGAAAGGTCTGGAAAACAGGAAACATCAAGTGAGGGAAAGTCAGTGAATTTTATGGAGTGAGGAGTTTTAAGACTGGATTTAGGAAAAATCTTGAAACTTTTTCAAATCTGAAATATTAGAACTTATTCAATTTTGAATGTGGCTTATTCAAATCTGATGTAATGTCGGAGCTGTCCACTCAATGAAACTGATTCCTAGCCTGGTTCAGGGTTCAGTGCTCTCAGTTACACTCTGAGAAGAGGACCGAGGAATAAATTTCAATGAGGAATCTCATTCATAGTTAATTGAATGATTACTACTATAAGAAAAAAGTTTTACATGTTTCTATCATTTGCAGTTAACTGAATTGCAATAATTTTTAATTTTAATGCCTGTGGTGCAAATTGGCGATGTAGAAAGTCAGAGATCAGAGAAAGTCAGGTTTGCGTAGAGACATGAAGCGCGACATCGTTTCTCCGATATCACTTAAAAAACTGGAGGATCATTTTAAAGATCTTTTGACGGAAAGGCGCCCAGAGTTTCGAGACAACAGCACGGACAACGGAAGAATGAACAACTTGGAGATCCACACTTGTGACATAATTAAAGCGGTCAAAGAGCTGCAAAATGACAAAGCACCGGGTCCTGGTGGGATTCCTGTCGAGTTGGTCAANAGAAAGTCAGAGATTTTAGTCAGGGAAAACTTTGGATAGTCAGGGATGTTTTTAGTGCCGAGTCCGTAGATACACTGACCTATAAATGGACATAATTTCACAGAAACTCATCTAAGGTTGCGTTTTGGAATGGGATGAGATTGAAGTAAGTATATTTGAATTCAGCTAGATGTTTACTTTCTCCTATCAAAAATTCTAAGTCAAGAAAAAATATTTTTAACTCGAGAACAGCTGTTGAACTTTGTATTGGACATTGAGTCTTGTCTGGAGAAATAAAACTTCATGCCATTTGGTGCATTTCTGTTAAACTATAGGTCAATGTGTTTTTAATTACAAAAGGGCTGACGGAAAAAAGAACACATCTTAATGAGAAGAATTTCTCTTTTATTGAGATATTGATACAAATGTGTTACGAAACTGAACCTGAGAAGTTGACCTTGAGTAAAGAATTAATGCGCCACTACAAAAGGTGCGAAGATAAGCATCATGATTTTTTTATTAAAATTTTGTATAGGACTTGATTTTTGCCACAAAAATTATCCACTGCATTTGTAAGTTTTACAATATACATGATATTCATTGAATGCACGAGGAATTGAAATCGTCTTAATTTTAACCAATGCAAATGGATAGTGAGAGGTAAGATTGATTTTGCCTTCACCATAGGGTTGTCAATTTGAATGAAGGATTGTATAAATATAGGTTTGTCAAATGAATTACCTCAAGTTAAAGATTGTTGGGCACAGATCTTTAAAAAAACTCATCTGAATGAAATGTATGTATAAGCCGCTTTTATGGCGCACTGGGGAGCTCTGCGAAGCTTACCCGCCACCGGAATCTGTCATGGTAGAGATTCCATGGTTTCTTGATGGAGTGATTGAAATACCTACCTAATCAAATGTTGGCAGCAATCTGATTTAGGACCCTGCCATACATTAATGAGTCTGAAATGAAAGAAAATCTCATATTGTCCTTATCGGACATTAGGAGTCAACTGTTCTGAACTGTTTATGAACTTATCTGGAAAGAGAAACTTTAAAGTTTTGTGGCAAATACTCATTCTTGGGCTGACTAGACTGCTCCTAAGGTAAAATGATAAAACCACCGTTTTTTTAATTTTTTGTCAATATGCCTCCCTTCTCTGATGATTCTCTGGGAGTTCAGAAAAAAATGCATTTTTCCCGAGTTAGTTTTTTACCCTAACCCGATAACAATGATCTTCAAAAACCAGTGTGCAAAAATTCTTGAGAAAAACTGTTTAAATATTCGTTTCAGGAAACCCTTTTTGGCTATTTTTCTAAAGCAAAATTTATCTCTCTCTGAAATTTACTTAAATAGGGTTGCAAGGGTCAAGGAAAAATTGTAAGAGTCAGGAAATTCGAAAAATAAAACCGGAAAAACAGGAAGAAAACAGGTAATTTTTCTCCCAGTCAAGAAAATTCTCAGGGCTGTGACTTAATATCTAAAACCTCCATTGCGCGCCGGTACACCGCCCGTCAGCGTTGGCGAGAAACATCCATCCAAAGCAAATCGGTGGATGCAACTTAATTAACTCCGGTGTAGGGTTGGGATGCATCGCCGAATTTGAAGGCGAACTAGCAGCGATTTGATTTCCCAGCGATCCGACGCTGCGCCGCGCCGTCATCCATATTACGCGATGAGGAGAATTTAGGCTGAAAACTACACCTATTGCGTTGCTAAGGAAAGAATCCCCTCGAAAAGAACTCTCCTCTGTCACCAAATTTTCATCGATAAAACAGATTTCCTCGAAAAGTTTTGGATGTTTTCTTCTACATTTTCAGATAGTTCGCACTTTGATGTAAGTAATCTTGGTCTTACAAAAATATTCATAGCTCTCCTTAAAAATATTCACTTTTTCAAGACACATTTGGCAACGTATGAATTTTTTCCGGGGTTTTTCCTTAGCATGACAATATGCGTCTGTCAATTAATGATTAATTTCTCAAATGTAAAGAAACGAAACTGTCCTCGGCATATTTAGAGACATTCAGAATGCAGCCAATCGGCGGATACAACTTAATTAACCTCGGTGTGGGATTGGGTTGCGTCGCCAAATTTGAAGGCGAACTAGCAGCGATTTTGTTTCCAAGCGAATTGGCGCTGCGCACTGTCCAGGAATTCGAAAAGAACCCGGGTATATAAGAGAAAAAAATAGGTAATTTTGCACCGAGTTAGAGAAATTCTTAGGGCTACCGGGGTTACCGAGTTTTCGGGAATTTTGCGCCCCAAAACGAGTTCCGCGAGTCCTAAATCTGCGATTTGTGCGCTAGCTCCAATTAAAGGATTCTAAATATTAACACATGTCCGCTCATAGTTGATTTTTCTCGGCCCCCTCTAATTTTTCTTATTCAGGCATGGAATATTTTACAATATTTCCAGGCTGCATAAAACTTGTCTTATTTGGGTTCGCCATTGCAAGTTTCAAATGTACAATTGTGGTGCCTCAAATGTTGTAGGCGTTGCTACTTTTAATTTAACTTTTTTTTTTTTTTTTTTTTTTTTTTTTTTCGGTAAGAAGTCGGAGAATTTCAGCGTCAGTGGGGGTAAGTGGTCAGGAAATTTTTCCCAAGAGTCAGAAAAAAGTCAGGAAATTTTGAAATTAGACTGAGCTTCCAACCATGATAAAAATAAAAAATGGCCACATTTTCATGAGTTTTTTAAGCATCCCCCCCCC